GGGCCCCGGGGGTAGGAAGCTAAGGCTCTCGGGAACCCCAGTGGTGCAGGAGGCTGTGGGCTCAAACCACGCGGTGCCTGGTTCTCCCTAGAACCTCAGCACTGAGAATTAGCTCGAAACCTGAGCCCTGGAGCTGCTCCTGGCAGGGCCTCCTGTTCAGGGTTGAGCGCTCTGGGTGCCGTTCTGATTTATGGGGCCACCTGACCTGGCCCGATCCCTCCTACCATCATTCTCTCAGGAGCAAGTGCCGCTCTGGCCAAGCTCGGCCGCACGCCCTTGACCTTCCACTGGCCCATCCAACGGCGCCTGTCCCCTGAGGCTGGGGGTAAAGAGCTCAGCCCGATGACAGGCCAGTCCACACGCATCACAGGCCACACATCATTCATTCATTCACTCAACCAAGAAGTCGTCCATTGACTCGAGGGCCGGAGGGGCACGCGGACTAGGGAGGCAGTGAGCATGGACAGGGACTCACCTACAGCCCCGGTCCCCAGAGGAGCCCGGCTGGCAGTGTGTCAGGGGCCTGGGCTCTGCACTGCCACCACCTGTCAGCTGTGTCACCTTGGACAAATGTTCCTTACCTCAGTTTCCCTGACTGTAAAAGGGGGCCAATAATAGAACCTAACTCATTAAGTTGTCAAGTTTAAACACACGCAAATGACTAGATACGCATCAGATGAATATGCAAGGTGCTGAGAAGGCTGCCTGATTCAAAAGAGGGGTTGAATATTAAGTAAATAATAAGATCTGCAAAACAAACAAACAAACAGCAGTGAGGCACAGAGTCTGGGGCTTGGGAAGGGCGACATCTGAGCTGAGACCTGATGGATGGACGTCAGGCTTGTAGAGGTCTGGGGGATAGCGCGCAGGCAGAGGGACCAGCACCGGCCAGGGCCCTGAGGTGGGCATGAGCTTGGCACACTCAAGGGCTAATAGCATCCCGAAGTCGATGTGGCCAGAGTGGAGTTTGTGCCGGGAGTTGGCAGGAGAAAAATCAGTGGGGTGGGCCGTGGTGCTCTGTGGGAAGGGGAGACCATAGCATCCCAAGTCCCCATCGCTTCAGACTGGATCGTAGACCCTCCCTGGCCTTCGTCCTAAGCATCCTTTCTAAAACACTCACACCAACCGAGACAGAGGGAGAGAGTCTGGGAGTGAGTCAAGAGAAGGGGAGGGGGACACGATACACATCAGCACTGCTGCTGGCTCCCCAGGATTTTCCTGTGCCGGTGTCTAGGGACTTCTGCCTGACACCCTCTTCCTATCTTCTGCCAGAGAGTGGGGGGCAAGGCCCTGCTGAGAAAAGTGACTGTCAGCCTCTGCCTTGGAGTTCCCTGGGGAAGGGGGCGGAGTTCATCCCCACCTCCTACCCCGTGGGCTCACCATGAGCTCATAGGGACCAGGAGACTGCCCTACGCGGGCCAGAGACAACTGTAACAGCATCTGCTCCTGCAGGCCTCGGGGTACGGATCCTGGCCTCTCTCCACCGGGGACAAGGGGATCCTGTCCAATCGGGAACTCGCACCCCTGGACAGATGCCTAAGCTGAGGGAAGGACGGAAGAAGCTGTCTCCCCGCCGATTTGTGGGTCAGTGGGAGAGTCAGGCTGTGTGTGATCACTCGTCATTTTCCTCCAAGGCTGCCCTTTCTCCAATCTCTGCAGACCCCACGGGTGTCCCTGGCTCCAGAGGGGAGGTGAAACCAACCTGGGACACCACCCACCTCGTGCCCCCTCTCCAACTTCAAGCCACAGTGAGATGGGGACCCAGGCCGGTCCCAGTGAAGAAGGGACTGCTAGGTGAAGAGACCCGGGGAGACTGTGTGGACAAGGCGTGTGCGTGCCAGACCGAGGTGAACGCACAGGAGAGTGGAAGGAAGCAGCTGGTATTTTTAACAACGATCTCAACGTAAATCTCTAGGAAAAATGTCACCTTCCTGTCTGTGCCTCTACTCACAGCTCGCCAGGGAGTAGTGTCAGAATGTGGCAGGGCCAGGGTATCCATCCCCAAAGGGCCAGTTTCGCTGGGAGAAGACAGGTGGACCATAGGGTCTGTGGGGATGAGGAAGGTGAGGTCCCTGCTGTGTCTGCATTTCGGGAAGGGGGCGTCCAGGGCCCTGGGGAAAGGGGGCAGGTGCTAAGGCCTCTTCACTCACCTCTGTGACTCAGAAGGAGTGAGGGGTCAAGATACCAGCCCCTGACTAACTGGGCCCAGGCCTTGTCTCTTCAGAGACCCCGGGGGGTATAACATGTAGGGGCCTTGAGTCAGGACCTGTCTGGATCAGGAAGGACGCAGTGGGAAATGGAGAGTTGAATGGAGGTGGGTGACCTCTCTGGGGATCATGGCCCAGGTGGGTGTGGAAGAGACACGGGCTGAGAGGGTCATCCAGTTCAACCTGCTAGTTTTAGGGTCACACAGGATAGCTTGGAGGTTAAGAGTATGAGTTCTGAGTCAGACAAAACTGGACCTGCGTCTTATGTCCCTTTGAGCCTCACTCTTCTCATCTATAGAATGGGTCGATCCCAGCAGGAAGATAGGTTCATAAGCGCTCACTGATGTCCCCTGGTATTATTGACGCGGACAGGAGCTCCTACCACCACAGACACAGGAGTGACAATAGAAATAGCCCGTCTCCACTCCAGAAGGGGCTTCCTTCGACTAGCCCAGTGGTTCTCAACTGGAGGTGATTTTGTCCACCTGCCAAGGGACTGCTGGCATTATCTGGAGACATTTCTGGTTGTCACACTGGGAGACTACCACTGGCGTGTTGGGGTTAGAAGCCAGGGATGCTGCTAAACATCCTGCAATGCACAGGACGGCCCCTGCAACAAAGAATTAATTATCGGGCACACAGTGTGATAGTGCCAAGGATGAGAAACCCTGCTGGAAGCCTGCACTGTGCAGTTCAGTGCCACTAGCGACAGGTGGCTACGGTGCATGTGACATGCGGTTAGTCCGCACTGAGATGTGTTGTAAATGTAAAATGCACACTGAATTTCAAAAACTTAATATGAAAAAGAGGATGTAAACTACCCAATAAGGAATTGCTATATGGGCTATGCATTGAAATGCTAATATTTTAGATACATTGGGTTAAATAAAATCTATTACTAAAATGAGTTTCACCTGTTTATTTTAACCTGAAAAGCGTGGCCACTGGAAACTTAAAGTGACACGTCCTGTGCGGGCTGGCATTCTATTTCTGCTGGCCAGTGCTGGGCTAGACTGCTTCTCTCGGGGGTGGAGAAACGCAGGCGGGAGGTGTGGGTCATTGTGGCGGTGACTGGTTTCTTGAGAAAGGACAAAGGGGATTGTCACAACTCTACCCCCTGCTAGAGGGAGAGGAGTCCACACCTCCCACCCTCCCTGCCCCCAATTGGGCTGGGCCTCTCTCTGCCAGGACAGAGGGAGCGCAGGGGGCTTGAGCATGCCCCGCTTCTTCACTCCCCACCCCCACTGGAGGTACCCTGCCAGACTTCCAGGCTGCACCCAGTGAATAAACAGGCGGGTATGGTGACAGCAGAGGCTTAGAGACTTGATCATCCTGGCTCCCGGCCAGCTCCCTGGCAGTGCCCAGTTTAGGATCGAGGGTGAGAAAAGAAGAGGAGCTCACCCAGGCCACCGATGACTGGACCACACACCACTGCTGTGTTATGACCCTCAGAAACCACCCCTGAGATTTGCATGTGGGACATCCGAGGCCAGGGGCAGATCAGTGGAGAGGGCTCCTGGCCTGCAGTGACCGAGCCCTTTGCCCTCGGGGAAGGAGCCTGGGGATTGATGGCATCCTCATGGCCAGTCCTGCTGAGGAGGTGGCAGGAGACTGGCAGGGAGTGTTGCCAGGGCCACTGGAAGGGGACAGAGAGAATGGGTTGGGGAGGGTGTGTGGGAAAGCACAGGGATGGGATGTGGTGGGGGCCTGAGAGGCAGGGTGCTCCAGGTGACAATGATTTGGGAGCAACAAGCCACATTGGCACCTCCAGCTCAGCTAGAGGCACAGAGAAGTTAGGGAACCCACCTTAGTGCATGCTCCCCCCTTTCAGCACAGAGCCCTTCCACCCTGGCGATGGGGAACATTTCACATTCTTGGAATAGAAGGCTGCGTGATCCTGTGGTGGACTCTCCACGCTTCACTTATACCAGACGCGCTTCCTAAGGCCCAGCCCGCACCCTACAGGGAGATGGGTCACTGCACTTGGCTGCTTGCTGGAGGTCGGGGTAGTGGTGCGGGAGCCCCCCCTCACGTCCTGCTGTCTCAGAAATCCTGCACCTCATCAAGTTCATGGACAGAGAAGGGTGGGGGAACAAGGTCCTGAATAAGGGGCACTCTTTTGACAAAGATCCCACCTCCCCACCCTCAGCCAGGTGGTACAGGTCTCTCTGACCCCAGGGTGAAGTTAAGGGAAGGCATTTGGGGACAAGGAGCTCACCGCCAGTGTCTGCAGGACAGGCCACCACCAACATCCCCCACAGGGCGAAATCGGAGCCTGAGCAACCCCCAGGGCCAGATTCCACACCAGGGCAGCTCCCCAGCAAATCCCCGAGGGCGCTCAGCTGATCTGGGAGTGGGGTGAGGGGCTGGGAGGAGGTGGGGGGTGAGCCAGGAGGGTCTGAGGGAAAGGGAGGGAAGGGAGAAGGGCGGTTCTGAGAAGAGAGTGGGGAAGTGAAAGGGGAGAGGATGGTGGAGAAGCTGAGGGGGTGCTGAGGTCGCCCTGGGTGTCGGAGAACGCCCAAGACTGGGGTGCAGGGGGGGTTTGGCAAAGAGGCAGTGAGGGAGCTGTGTTAGGGTGTCTGAGAGGGTCTCAAGATTTCGGGGACGCTGACACATGGTTTGGGGCTGTCAAGTTTCTGGGTGAGGTTCTCAGGATTTCTGGGCGCGGGATGAAGGGCATCTCGGGCTGGAGCAAGGCTGTCTGCATCCCCGAGTCCCGGGAGGGTCTCGGGATATCTGGGGCCGACATCTGCGAGCCCGGGATCCGGGTGGCCGACAAGGGGGCCCGCTCACCTGTAGACGTCGGTCCCGAGGTGCGTGCCCAGCACGTACACCGCCTCGACGCGGCTCCCGTACTGCAGCCGCACCGTCCGCTCGCGCAGCATCTTCGTGGCAGTGCCGGGCCGGGGCCGGTCCTCGCGCAGGGCCGCCTGCAGCACCTGTCCAGGTGAACCCGCTTCAGCCGCCGGCGGGGGCCGCAGCCCCGCGCACCCTTATTCGGCCGCCGGTGGGCGGGGCGTGGGCGGGGCGGCCTGCCGGCTCCTCTCGTAATAGGCTGAGGGCCTGTCAGTCAAATATGACCGCGCCCTCAACTCTTCCGCGTCCCCCTGTGGTCGCGATGAGATCAGCAGAGGACAATTGTCTTTCCGTGGTGGACTTATTTGTTCAACACACTTCGAGTGGGCTCCCAACTGCTGGGCGCCAGGATGCAGGACCAGTACCCCCGCCCCCCACGCCCTGTGGGGTAGATAATGCAAATGCGGAGATGCCACAGGGGCGAGGACAGGAGGTGGTGGGAGCTCAGAGGGAGTGGGTGCTCTAATCTAGCCTGGGGTCCGGGACCTGAGCCTTTTTAAAGCGGCGTTTGCAAAGTAGGGAAGGGAAGGGAGGGAGCTAGCTGCCTGAGCAGAGATGCAGGAAGTCAGATACAGCATCACACCCCCTCCACCCCCCAACAACCAGATCAGGGAGAACGGGGAATAGGAACCCAGAAGCCTACGGGGCCACAAGGCCAAGCCAAGGCATTGGTGGGTGGGCAAGGGGAGCTTGGCCTGGATTCCTCAGTGAGGTGTGGTCAGGTATGGAAGTAAAAGAGGCCATTCTGGCTGCCATGGATGGAGGTGCCCCTTAGGAGGGTCAATGAAGACCCCAGCTGGTGCTGCATGAGAGGGCTGGAGAGAAAGGGGTTGCTCTGACCAGTGTTTGTGAGCTGAAACACGGATGTTCTGGTGGAGGGACAGTGGGGGGGGGGGGAAGGGCACCATTCTGGCTGGGCCACTGGGCAAAGGAGGGTGCCAGAGGGTGCCACTGCAGACATCAGTTTGTGTCTTGTAGAGGCTGGGGTGCAGGGCAACATCCATTTGGGGCCTGAACCAGCCTCCACCCCTACCCCAGACCCTTCCAGCTCTGAAGCCAAGCCAGAGCCTGTTCAGATAATTCAGCCACTGTGAGTAAGTAGTCCTTCCTGGGGCCAGGAACTGAGGTGGGGGTGTGTGAAACAGCAGAGGCTATGAGAGGGAAGGGGCAGTGTGGAGGGGATGAATGTTTCAGAAGGTCTGCTGGGGGGATGGGGCCCCTGAAGGGTCGAGGCTCAGAGAGTGAAGAGCTGAGACACACCCCTGGGGCCAGCCTCCTCCAGCGGCCCAAGTTAGGAGATGATGAAGAGCCCAGCTGCTCCTGGGTGGCCAGGATCTCGGAGGAATGTGGGTGGGGAAGGGGAGAAGCCTGAATTGGGCAAGGGGGGCATGGGGCCCAAGAGGCACACAGACCCAGGGAGATGCTGGTAACTTCTGATTGGCTCCTGGTTGCGGTGGAGTGCATCATCCAATGAGGAGACAGCTAGCTGGTGTCACCTGTCAAAGAGGAAAAAGACTGGTGCAGCTCAGAGCTGACTGTGAGGCCCCTGAGATGGGCTCCTGTCTGGGCACCCCTCTGCTAGGAGTTACTTTTGAGCTCCTACTAGATACTGGGTATATGCCAGGGATCAGAGAGCATGACATCCTTATTTCACCCACTGGGAAAGTGGGGCCCAGAGTGGGAAGGAACACTGCACCCCCACCGAGGCCCAGGCAGGTCACAACAGGAGCAGGGTAGTGATAACCACAGGTGGGTGCCAGGAGGGAAGGAGTAAAAGTAAGCCTTACTGCGTTCTTTCTGGGTACCATGCACTGTTTCAGGGACACGTTTCATGTATTAGAATGAGAGCATCATGCTGTCCCAGTAACCCTGCCACTTCACAGACGAAGACAGTGAGCTGCAGAAAGGTTCAGTAATGTGCCCTTGGCCCCATAGCTCCTAAGTGGCGGAGCCAGGGTCGGAACTGGCAGGCCATGCGGGGAGGGCCAGAGGGGGGTCAGAGTGGGTGAGAGCAGAGGAGGAATGTTGTCTCTTGCTTGTAGATGAGGAAGTTCTAGTCCAGCCCCGCCTCTGTGGAGCCTCGGACAGTTCACCTCCCGTTCGCAGCCTCACTTTCCTCACCTGCGAACAGCTGAGCCCTCAGCCTCGAAGGAAGGGTGACATTAAACAAGACGGTGTACGAAAATACTAGTGCAGTGTCTGCTGCAAAGCGAGAGCTCATACAAAGAAAGAGAAGAAATTCCCGCTCTTTTACAATCCAACCTGAACCTGCAGACCCACACTCGGTTTCCTGTCCCTGACTCGGGTCCCGTGATGTTGGGCCACAGGGCTTCGTTGGTGTGACAGGAGCCTCCTGATGATCAGGGGTTTAAAATAGTTGAAGTGGTCACAGCTGTTGGTGGATTCAGGGCCGGAGGTCTCAGGCTCCCTTGGGGCCCAGAAGAGCCCTGAGGCATCTCATTGTGCCTTTTGGGGGGATGCCAGCAAAGGGCAGGCTTAGCTCGGGCAGGCTCCAGGCACTGACCCGCACCCGAAACCCCGGCTCTGGCTCTTGCCAAGCATGTGACTAGAGAAACTGGGCCGGGAGGAGCTGCTCTGAGCTGTTCCCAGCTCTGATCCTTTCCTGGGGTCTCTCTGTGCCAGGCCTTGGGGGACCCTGGAAGGTGATTCAGACATCTCATGGGCCTGCCTTGGGAGCACACCAGCTCAATGAGGGCATCACAAGAGCAGGAATTTAAACAGAAATGAATACACAAGTAATACCTGATCATTTGGGAAAAAATTTAAAAATCTCATCACCCGTGACCCCAGGACCAGAGATGGTCACTGCTAACATTTTTGAGTATGACCTCACAGGGGCCACCCAGAGGCAGTCTGATGGGGCTGTGAGTGACCACACACTGAGCCCTTAGGCTGTGCCAGGAGCTGATCTAAGGGCTTCACACCTCTTAGCTCATTTAATCCTCCCCAAACCCTATGAGATGGGAGCTATTATTATCCTCAATTCACACAAAGGCACCCGCCAGCCTGGTGGTGAAGAGCTTACATGGCCTTTGGACTTGGTAAACCTGGGGTCAAGTCTAGCTCTGCTCCTCCCTGGCTGGGGGACCTTGCTGGGCCTCGGCTTTTTTCTGTTTGGGAGATACAGTAGTACCCTCTTATCCATGGGGTGCACGTTCCAAGACCCCCGGTGGACACCTGAAAACATGGTACTAAACCCTATATATACTATGATTTTTCCTATACATCTATACTTATGATAAAGTTTAATGTATAAATTAGGCACAGTAAGAGATCAACAATAACTAATAAAATAGAATGATCATAACAATATACTGTAATAAAAGTTACGTGAATATGGCCTTTTTAGTAAAATAAGGATGACTTAAACATATGCACTGTGATAGTGTGACAGTCAGTCTGATAATGGAGATGACTACTCAGTGACTAGTGGGCAGGTAGCGTGTCCAGCATGGACCCCATGGACCGAGGGATGATTCCCGTCCCAGACGGGGCGGAGCGGATGGCGTGAGATTCCATCACGCTGCTGTGGGCAGGAAAAATTTCCCCCTTTTCCCTCTTAGTTCTTCTGGCTGGTCTAACTATCAAATTGACATGAGACAGATTAACAGGAGAAAATAACCAAATTTAATTATGTATGTACATATGGAGATTCCATAGGAATGTGGGGCCCCATCTTAATCTAAGGAGAAAGGAGGGAGGGGTAATAGTTTGGGACTTCAAAGGACAGGAAGGCAATTCACATCGAGGCATGTGTTTGGTACACAAATGTTTGCTGGGTCATCTTTAATAATGGGACAGAGTCCAGCCAGTGTGGCTCAGTGGCTGAGCGTCGACCCCTGCACCAAGAGGTCGCCGGTTCGATTCCTAGTCAGGGCACATGCCCAGGTTGTAGGCCAGATTCCCAGTAGGGGGCATGCAGGAGGCGGCCAACTGATGTGCTCTCTCATCAATGTTTCTCTCTCTCTTTCTTCCTTTCTCTCTCTCTAAAATGAATAAAAATTTTTTTTTAATTAAGAAAACAGGCAGCCTCAGTAAAGCTATGGTCATTTTGGGAGGGGGGGTAGGCTCAGGGGAGTGCCCTGTGATCCCCATCAGGCACCCAAAGCCACCCGCATGATTCTGGTCATGTGTAAGGCCCTCCTGTATAGAAGTGGTGGAGCGGCCGGGGCTGGGGGCCCCAAGGAGGGGACCAGGTGCCGAGTAGAATGAGGGAGGGAGCCGGTGGCGAAGGTGAGACCCGGAAGAGGGGCTGAGTGTGGGAGGGGAGAGGACAGTGTTCCAGACAGAGGGTAGGGCGTGTGCAAAGGCCAGGGGAGAGGGCAGCGGTGTGAGGGTGGCAGTCGGGGAGCAGAGTGGAAAGCCGTGAGGGAGTGGGGTGGGGAGAGGCTGGCCTGGCCACGCTCAGGTCCCACAATGCCTTGTACATCATGTGAACGACTTTTGGCTTTATCTTAAGGTCACAGGAAAGCCCCGGAATAACCTGGAAACATGGCGATGGCGCCTGTGATGTGTGGATTGAGGTAAGACACGTCCCAACCTGTAGAGACTTTTTATGAGTTTCTTTGAGCCAAACTGATGGACCTATGCCAGGAAGCAAAATCTTAATGGATCAAGAAAATGCTCTGGGGAATGACAGTTTTGCAGCTTATTTTATACATTAAAATAAAAGGAGGAGACGGAAGCAGGGTTACATGAAATCCAGGGGTGGTCGATTAGGGAGGTGGGAGAAAGCAGAGCGAGGAAACCTCTGGGACTGGACACGAAGTAAAGTGGAGAGACACACACTTTTCATTGCTGGGTATAGGATAGTTAATGATTGACATACAGCCCGGCCGGTGCGGCTCAGTGGTTGAATGTCGACCCATGTACTAGGGGGTTGCCGGTTCGATTCCTGGTCAGGGCACATGCCCAGGTTGTGGCTCAGTTCCCAGTGGGGGGCATGCAGGAGGCGGCCAATCGATGTTCTCTCTCACTGATGTTTCTACTTCTCTTCCTTTCCCTTCTCTCTCTAAAAATCGAAAAAGAAAAATTTTTTTTAAAAATTGTCATTCACACACATGGAGA